AGGGAATATATATATAACCATTTTTCTATATCCAAGTTTTATGATAATCTTGAAATATCCATCGATCTTGAGGACGCTTTATCATCACCTTGACCCATCATTCTAGATACACCATTTAACGATAGGAGAAAACCATATCCTGCTCAACACATCATCGTTGACATACGAGACAAAGAATTCCACAACCCCCTTCCCCCTAAAAAAAAGAAAAACAACTCAAGTACTTCCATATATAGGATTACATCGTACTCGTGTACTACAATCGTTTATTTCCCTAAGGTGATCTTTAAAAAAAAAACATGCAGGACTAACCTTTTTATAAATAGCTCTCCATGTCCTGCCGTTCTGTTTATATCCGTTGGAATCGGACACAGGATCCCCCCCCCATATTCCCCACCCCCCAACCCCCTTCTCTATTCGGTGTTTCGAACGGCAGCGAATCGTGTTTCATTTTCTCCCCGAACAGTGGTAATAAAGTCCGTGATATAAACAAAGACGAAAGGGTTCGGATACCACAAGGAAGGGATTCGATTCCTCAAACGCGTTCACATGATGGTTCGAAACCCACAAATACATTATCTCTCCCTTCTTCGCTGTGACCCCCTCTATAATAACCACCTATACATCGGTGTTATGTGTGATATTTGTTGACATTTCCTTCGCTAATATTTGCAACATTATCATGAATTAATATCGCTTTCATCGTGAATAAGGTACGAAAATCTATTAAATAAATACCAAAAAAAAAAAAAACATATATATTAAAATGGCTTACCTCCCCTGAGATGACTTTCCTGTTGGTGACTAAGATTTTTATGGACTCATAAAACACGAAACTCCCGGACGAACGATCGAAACCCAGTGAGAATATGATTAAATTAACATATTAATGGATAAGAAAAATAACTAGCATAAAAAGCTAGAATTTATATATAGCTGATTCACTATTTCTGCTGTATTTTTTTTCCAGAACTCAGTGCGAATAACGACATGCTATTGTCGACATACTATATTTTATTTTCTTTATCTTCCCATATCATCGGCAATAGTCCATTGAACTGACAATGTTTTATTATTATTATTATTATCTTTTTACATTCCATAGACATCGGTCTGTGATATCATTAGCAAGAGCGGATCATTCCAAGATCAGTTTGGGCATTTGCTCAGTCCTGAAGTTTCCATTTCATTCCCCTGTGCGTGAATACATTCCGAAAATTAGTGACACAAATTGAGGAAGAAGAGTAGAGACTCGAAAGACAAGTAATGAAGAAGAAGAACTCTATGGTTGTAAGAATTGGTAACAGCTCATTTCGTCTGTCTCAGTGCTTGTGTGAACTTTGTTTGATAGCATTTTTTCCCATAATGAAATGCACTCACTTTATTCATATCAAGGCCTTTTCTTTTATTTTATTCGTGTGTGAACGGCCTTGAATACACGTAACGTTCATTCTCTTTTTCATGAAATTCTTGATTTTTCACCATTTTTCATCTTGATCTTTTTGTCCTTGGTATGAAGCAAAAGGGAAACATAGATCGATAATCAGAGCTGAATGATATACAAATCAACCCAAAAAATCCCTCAACCTTCGGGGTAACCATTCGGTACCTGGTGTAGTTCCTCCTGGTACCTCGAGGGAGTGACACGAGGACTTGGGGGCCTTTTAGAAATACCCCGCGGCTTCTGGGTGTTTCGTGAAGCCTAGACAAGGAAGCTCGGAGACCTCGGGGTGCCTTCCCTGCCCTCGTTCTTGTAGTACAGCTGTAGTATCCCAAGGACGTGAACAGAAGGCCACGTGTCAAGGTAGTCCTGGTAGTTAACTAATCATGGGAACTGTTGAGACGTGGACATGAGAACACTACTAATACTAACAGTATCAATAGCTTTAGAAGTTCCAGTATCCAGAGTCACCCCGCCTGTTTATAACCCAGATCCCATGATGGAAGAATTCGATGTTTTATTTGTTTATTCTTTAGATATAGCTCTCTCTCTCCCCCACAAGGTTTAGGGTTAACAACAAAAGATCGGGATAGGTCGCGGGCTGGTATCTATAAAACTCAGCCCAATCATAATGCTGTATTATCGAAATCTATGTTTACCCTGAAAGAGACAGACGGAACTCGCATGACCCAGAAAAAATTGTTAAGAATGGAAACATTTCATTTCTTCTTTTATATATATAAACATCAAAGAAACTACGAAACCATGTTATTTTCTTCCCGAACCAAAAATCATGATAACAATCCGGTCTGATCCCCCCTTACCCCTCCCCCCTGTACATGGACTATTAAGACCAGAGATGTTGATAGTCTTCTGTTCTCTAACTACAAAGCGACGTCCTGTAGTCCAGTGAGGATTGACGTATCGCCTGAGTTATCAACGAAATGGTCTCCTGATGTGTTTGTGTTCAGTAACTTGATGTCATAAAAATAAACAAAAAAATTATGTGTATAAACCTTAACGCTACAGAAAGGTTGCTAAAACAGTAATAAAAAAAAACGAAAAAAAAACATAAAAAATGTAATCAAGTAGAACTATGTAAATAGCCTGGAATAATAATAAAAAAAAATCGATTTTTTAAGAACCCTTTTCTGAAGTTTCTTCCTGAGCACCCTTAAGTGGCGTCTCCCTATTTTATGCTCCCCCCCCCATTACCCCTCATTATCCCTCCCCCTCCCCCCTCTCCCCCTCATTCAGATGGCGCTCAACCGATAAATGCCCCCCCACCCCCTCCTCACTCTACCCCCCTTTTCACCACAGTCAAATGGCGCTCAACCCCTTACCAAGTGCCCCAGACCCCTTTAGATAGACCACTCAGACGCGGTACACCCTCCCTCTCCCTCCTTCGCCTCTCAAATAGCGCTCAACCGGTGAGAAATCCCCCCCCACCCCCATTCCGCCCCTTCCCTATTCCCTTCCACCCCTCCCGCATTCAGCTGAAGTTTTCTAAGCCCCCTCCCTCCTTTTACCCCACCCCCCACCCCCTCCCTCCCTCTCACATCAGAAGGCGTCTAGGTATAAGTGCGTGCGTTCCCCTCCACCCCCCCCTCGCCCCTCTCTTCATGTACCCCACCCACCCAATCCCCACCCCCAAGTTTTCCACAATCAGATTCCCTCCTCCTCTTCACCCCCCCCCGCCTCTTTCTACCGCTCTCATTCCCTCATACCTTTTCTACACCCCACACCCCCTTCCTATACCCCTCCCCCTTCTGCTCTAATATGTGCCTAAGCCTATCACCACAACAGCCGTGTCTGTGAACGTGCTCTGCGACTTTCAGCCTTACTGAACGACGGCCTATGCTTCCTTATATATCTTTTTATACGAAGAAGAAATGTCCTTTTATCTGTCTCAAGGATTTATAGAATATCCTTGTTTTTAAGAAGAAAAAAAAAGTATAGTGTAGACAGACGAAAATAATGGCCCGAACTGATAGTCGTTCGGTCAAAAAAAGGAGAAAAAAAACACACACAAAAAAGTATATAAAAAAAAAAAATCTGCCGAATTTTCACTGGTTTGCGAGTAATCTAGGACGGCCAGTTAGAAACGAGAGCACATACCCGCACTCATGAATCATTCCTGCACCATGAACATTGCAACCGTTTTTTGGCGATTTTGAGCTTAATTGCGCAATGATCTAGGGCTGAGAGTCGCTGACCACAAACCACAGTGGACAACCAGTATAAAGGAGCCGTATTATATACATTGGTGTTTCAATCCAAATAACAATGTGCCGATAATAGTGATATGTTATAATTAATATCAAATATATTATGTGTTCATTAATGCAGCGTGTTTCATTTATCACCACCTATTTTGCGTTTCTTGGAATTATTATGAGTGGGAGTCAAGTTTTTAAAGATTAAGTACTCTTTCTCCGTCTCTTTTGTTTCCTCTCTTTATCTTTGTCTTTCTTTCTCTCTCTCTGTTTCCATGTTGCTTTCTCTCTGTCTTCTTTTCTTTTTCTTTATTTAAGTATTTTTTCTCTCTCTCTTTTCTGTCTCTTTCTTCCATTTTCTGTCCAGTCTCTCTTTCTTTCTCTTGCTCCATCTGTCTCTGTCTGTCTCTATGTCTACGTCTCTCTCTCTCTCTCCATCTATCTATCTATTGATATACCCTCTCTCTCTCTCTTTCTCTCTCTCTCTCTCTCTCTCTCTCTCTCCTCTCCTTATGTCTGTCATTATCTTTCATCGCTCTCTCTCTCTCTTTCTATCTATCATTATCTTTCGTCACTCTCTCTCATCCTCCTCCCCATATCTCACTCTATATATTTTTTCAATTAAGTGAAATGTAAAAATCCTTCATTTTTGCCGCTCTCATCCGACGAGGTTCCGGCCATCGCGAACGGCCCGGGGTCATAAAACCACTCCGGGCTCAATTACCATCAATAACGTGTGAATGCTTCGGGCCAGTTAAAGTTTTCTCGTTTGAGATTGTTTCTGTGAAAAGAATACTCTTGGGTTTGTCAAAATATAATTCAAGCCGACTCATCGCTTTGCCGTGTGTGCGTTTGTGTGTGTTTGGGGGAGTGTGTGGGTTTGGGAGTGTGTGTGTGTGTGTGTGTGTGTGTGTGTGTGTGTGTGTGTGTGTGTGTGTGTGTGTGTGTGTGTGTGTGTGTGTGTGTGTGTGTGTGTGTGTGTGTGTGTGAGAGAGGGGGGAGGAGAGGGGAGCGAGAGAGAGAGAGAGCGTGTGAGAGTGAGAGAGGGTGTGTGTGTGTGTGTGTGTGTGTGTGTGAGAGAGAGAGAGAGAGAGAGAGAGAGAAGGAGAGAGAGAGAGAGAGAGAGAGAGAGAGAGAGAGAGAGAGAGAGAGAGAGATAGAGAGAGAGAGAATGAGAGAGAGAGAGAGAGAGAGAGGGGGGGGAGGAGAGGGAAGCGAGAGAGAGAGAGAGCGTGTGAGAGTGAGACAGGGTATGTGTGTGTGAGAGAGAGAGGAGAGAGAGAGAGAGTGAGAAAAAGAATGGGAGAAAGCGCGCGCTCTTACCAGTGTGCGTTTGGAAGAAC